GAAACCCAAGTATCCCCTACCCAGAAGCGTGAGGATGTATGCTACAGATGTGGGTGCAAAGGACATTGGTCCCGCACATGTCGAACCCCTGCACATCTTTGCAAGTTGTAACAAGAGGCCACAAAAGGCAAAGGGAAAGTAGTGAACCTCACTGAAAACTTTGAGGGTTCATCGTACCTCAACTCCCACGACTTTGCAAATGATTTCGACGAGGCCGATATCAGGAATATCTAAAATCTTATAAAGAGACTACTGAATAGTCTCCAATAATGCCATGTATAATTATTATAATTTCAGTTTTAAAACGAATAATATTGTTTCTGACAACAATATAATGTATAATTATTGTGTGTTCGTTTTTCTATTAATAAAATTTGCTTTGGATTTATTGATGTTTATGTTAATTACAGAAATGGATCGCTATACGAATAGAACAATGTCCAAGAAACGGATACGAGAAACTTGTATACCAGATAGTGGAACAACGCACACTATTCTGAGACAAAAGAGATTTTTCTCTGGTTTGAAACTATAAATATCATTGTCAATACAATCTCGGGTTCTGTAGACTTTATTGAAGGAACCGGTAAAGCCAACTTTACGTTGCCTAATGGGACAAAATTTTCCATAAATAATGCTTTGTATTCTCCAAATTCTAGAAGAAATTTGTTAAGTTTTAAAGACATATACCTTCAAGGATATGATACTTGGTCTGTAACTGAGGGCGGAAAGAAGTATATGTATATAACTTCTAATAAATCAAGAAAAAGACTTATATTGAAAAGTTCCTGGAACTTTCTTTTGGTTTACATCATACTTATATAGATGCAGTAGAATCTCATCTTATGATCAATAGAAATCCTGATGATTTCACATTATGGCATGATCGCCTCGGTCACTCAGGCACCTCAATGATGCGTGAAATCATAGAGAGTTAAAATTGTCATTCACTGAAAATCCAGGAGATATATCAGGGAAATAAAAAGACATGTGCTGCATTTTCTCTTGGAAAATTGATCATAAGGCCATCGCCAACCAAAGTCAATATAGAATCACCAAAGTTCTTTGAATAAATTCAAGGAGATATTTATGGACCAATACATCCACCATGTGGACATTTCCACTATTTCATGGTACTAATTGACGCATCTAGTAGATGGTCACATGTTTGTCTATTATCATCTCAAAATATGGCATTTGCGAGATTTCTAACTCAGATAATCAAACTGCAAGCTCAGTTTTCTGATTATCCAATTAAAAAAGTTAGATTAGACAATGTTGGTGAATTCACATCTCAAGCATTCAATGATTATTGTATGGTAATGGGAATCGAAGTTGAACATTATGTAGCTCATGTTCACACACAAAATGGTTTGGCGAAATCATTAATCAAATGTTTGCAATTGATTGCAAGACCATTGATCATGAGATCAAAGCTCCCAACCTCTGTATGGGGACATACCATTTTGCATGCAGAAGCACTCATTCGGATAAGGCCAAGTGCGCATTATAAGTATTCTCCATTACAGTTAGCATTTGGTCGAGAACCAAATATTTCTCATTTAAGAATCTTTGGTTCTGCGTATATGTGCCAGTAGCACCACCACAACGCAAAAATATGGGACCACAAAGAAGATTAGGAATATATATTGGTTATGATTCACCTTCAGTTATACGGTAGCTAGAACCACAAACACGAGACGTATTTACGGCACGGTTTGCCGATTGTCATTTTGATGAAAATGTATTCCCGGTTCTAGGGGGAGAAAATAAAGAAATAGGAAAGGATATAAAATGGAGTGTACCAACACTGTTACACCTTGATCCTCCCTCTAAACAGTCTGAACTAGAAGTTCGACGAATTATGCATTTGCAGAGTATAGCCAATCAGCTATCAGATGCATTTGCAGATACCAAAACGGTAACTAAATCCCATATACCAGCTGCAAACACTCCTGCTCGTATTGAAATACTATGGGAACGTGAAAGAGAAGATGATACACGTGAGTCTAAAACATGCTTGAAGTATGGTAGACCTGTTGGTTCTAAAAATAAAAACTCTAAAAAGCAAAAGGAAGCTGAAATGCAAAGCACACCCAAAATAGCGAAAAATATTTTGGAGGAAGAAAATCATGAAACGAATGATAATGCAAAACATCATGAAACTGAAAGAACCCATGAGATTTCTATCAATTACATCCATAATGAAAAAATATGGAATCGAAATGAGATGGATGATGTTGACGATGTTTTCTCATACCTTGTCTGTAAGGACATAGATGAAGAAAACGAAGATCCAGAACCTAAGTCCATGTATGAATGTCAAAAGAGACATGGCTGGATAAAATGGAAAGACGCTATACAAGTAGAACTTGATTCACTTAATAAGCGTAATGAATTTGGACCTATTGTGCTCACACCTGTAGCTGTGAGACCTGTTGGTTATAAATGGGTTTTCGTTCCAAAACAAAATGAGAAAAATGAAATTATGAGATATAAGGCTCGTCTCGTAGCCCAAGGTTTTTCTCAGAGACCTGGAATAGATTATGAGGAAACATACTCTCCTGTTATGGATGCAATCACATTTAGATTCCTGATGAGTCTAACAGCTGATGAAAATCTAGAGATGCGTCTTATGGATGTCATTATAGCATATTTATATGGAACATTAGATACAGATATCTATATGAGAATTTCTGATGTATTTAAGGTGCCAGCAGCATTAAGTTCCAAACCCAAAGAGTTATGTACAATAAAATTGCAAAGATCATTATATGGGTTAAAGCAATCTGGACGTATGTGGTACAATCGTCTTAGTGAGCATCTAACGAAAGAAGGATATGTGAATAATCCAATATGCCCATGTGTTTTCATCAAGAAAACAACATCCGGATTTGTAATAATCGCGGTATATGTTGATGATCTAAACATTATTAAAACTCAAGGGGAAATACAAAAGGCATCAAATTATTTGAAAAGAGCATTTGAGATGAAAGATCTTGGACAGACAAAGTATTGTCTAGGTCTGCAAATTGAGCATTCTTAAAATGGTATTTTCGTACATCAATCCACGTATACCAAAAGAGTGTTAAAACGCTTTACATGGATAAGGCAACTCCTATAAGTACACTTATGGTCGTTAGATCACTTAAGCTTGAAAATGATCAATTCCGACCACGTGAGGAAAATGAAGGGATTCTTGGTCCTGAAGTACCGTATCTAAGTGCAATTGGAGCTCTTATGTACTTTGCAAATTGTACGCGACCTGGCATATCATTTGCTGTTAATCTTCTAGCAAGATTCAGTTCATCCCCTACACGAAGGCATTGGAATAGGATTAAACATGTCTTTCATTACCTTCAAGGGACTACTGATTTAGGTTTGTTTTACCCTAAAAATTCAGATGGACAAATGGTTGGTTTTGCAGATGCAGGATATCTATCAGATCCACACAAATTCAGATCTCAAACAGGATATGTTTTCACAATCGGAAGCACGACTATATCTTGGCGTTCTCAGAAACAGACGCTTGTAGCCACTTTTTTGAACCATGCTGAGATCATCGCACTTCAAGAAGTAAGTAGAGAATGTGTATGGTTAAGGTCAATAAGCCAACACATCCGATCAAGCAGTAGAGTTCACGTAAATACGGAGCCAACTATCTTGTATGAAGACAATGCTGTATGTGTTGCTCAAACGAAGGAATGATATATCAAAAGTGATAGAACCAAACATATCCCTCAAAAGTTCTTTTCATACACTCAATAGCTCGAGAAGAATAAGGAAATTGAAGTAAGATATATCCGATCATGTGACAATGCAGTCGATCTCTTCACAAAATCATTGCACACCACTATATTCAGAAAGCATGTCTATAATATCAGAATGCGTCAGCAACAAGACCTATAAGATGACACCTTGCTCATTCGAGAGAGAGCTTGGATGGTTATACTTTTTTTACCTGGCTATAGTTTTTTCCACTGGAATTTCCTAGAAAGATTTTTAACAAGGCAATAAAGATTGTAAGAAAGACTATGGTGACACTGGTCTCCAAGAGGGAGTGTTATGAAAGTCAAAAATAGACAGAGGCAAATGGTCATTGATTGAGGCTACATGTATAAAATATAATAAATAAATTGTAGAGCCCATCATCACTATGTAATATATATACACAGTAAATTTCTCTTTTTCACTTCTATATAAATGAATATTTTGTTCGATGTATGATATCTCATTTTCTTCAACAAATATCAATAGTGAAGCTCTCTCTCTCTTCTTTCTTTAGTATTCTATTTTCTGCGGATATAAATTTTTTATCTTTTTTTATATTTATCTATATAATAAATTATATAGTCTATTATAACATTTACCAAATTAACATGAGACTGCTCTGTGTTCTTTTTGTGTGATTTTCTCACAAAACTAATAATTTATTTTTATTTTATTATTGATTTATCACAGAGAATTTGTATATGTAATTTTAAATTTATTCTAAATAATTATACAAATAGTTGCAGTTTAATTAATTAATTATTGAAATGACTAACGATACCTACAATTATGAAATTTCCAATAATTCTATTAATATGCATGCATAATGATAATACCTACATTATGTACTGAAAATAATTTTGCTCAATATATTTTAAATATCAAAGTAAATAAAATAATAAAATCACCATATATACAATGTTAAGAAAATCATGGTATGTGTACGTTAGTGTAATTTATAAAAAAAATATAAAAGTTAAAAAAAAATGTATTTTACAGAAAAAGGACCGTTCTTAACACCGTAGAGAATAAAAAAGGACACAAAAATCTGATTGGGAGAAAAAAGGAAGCCTACACACTCTTCAGCACAGCGTCTATATGTATATATACACACAGTCTGTCTTGTGCTCACCACAAGTCTTTCTATTTTTCACTCTCTTTCTCGCCTATTCTTGAAATCTCTGTAAGAAAAAGCTTGAAACTTGCGTGTGTTTGGGTGACAAAGAACGATGACAAAGAGAAAGATCGAAATCAAGAAACGAGAGAGAAAAGAACAAAGATCCGTGGCTTGTTCGAAACGCCGCAAAACAGTTTTCTCGAAAGCCTTAGATCTCTGCCGTTTCTCCGGAGCGAACATTGGGATCCTCGTGACCTCTCCCGTCGAGGATTCAGATGCTATTTGCTCCTTCTCCGGTTTCTCCTCCTCTGCCTTCGATATCGCTGATTGCTACTTGAGCGACAAGATTCCCCCCAAGCTAGGGTTTTGGAGGAGGCAAGACCACAATCTCTCCGAGATCGGTGTCTTCGAGGACCGTCTTGAGAATATTAAGAAAGATTTGATGTCTCGTCTTGAGAAGAATGAAAAGCCACGACCTGTCTCTGGTTTCGATCGAAACCCTAGCGATTCTTCTCTCGACGGGTCTTCTTCTTCTTCTTTCTCGCAGATTGTTTCTAATTTCGATCAAAACCCTAGCGATTCTTCACGATTTGTGTCTGATTTTGCCCAGGCTTCTTCTTCTTCTCTCTGCGACTTCTCTAATTCAAAGTTTGCTTCTTTTGGTCAGGACCCTAATGACTCATCTTCTCTCCACGATATCTATGGCGGATCATCTTCATCACAGATTGATCAAATCCCTAGTTCATCCTCCGATAAAGGCGATGATGATAATAGCTTTTGGGCAGATGTCCTCAACGGCGACCTATGGGAAGCGGAGGATGAGAAGAACAACTCAACGAGTCTAGCGCCAGAAACACGAACAGAGCCTGTGGCCAATCTCGATGAGTATGACGATGAGAAGAGCTTTTGGGAAAATCTCATCAAAGATGATGTCTTGGGTCTTAACAACACCACTCTGGTGAACGAGGAAGACGATTGCATGATCGACATTAGCCAATTTCTCAACGAAGAAGAGATCGAGTTGCTCCAATCTGGTCAGTTCATAGCTTGAATCATGTAGAATGTGGTTAATTAGGGGTTTAATCTTTAAACTCTTAATTAACTTTGTTCTAATTCTTTAGGTATTACCCATTTATTTCGTGTATATGTAACGATCCAATTGATTCATATTTTTTGAATTATATAAAACTATTTTCCATCAGATTTTGTTCCCGTAACATGTTTTTAGTAAGTTCTTGTTTTTAATTCATACAATGTCAATTGATGATGCATCAATCATTGAAGATCGCCGCTTATAATAATGTGAAGCTTTGCCTAATAAACCCCCAATTATCATTAATCATTAAGAAAGAAACTAATGGAACCATAAAATACACAACTCATCAAGAAACACAAAACGCTTTGTGAGAATGTCCTGAGAGCTAATGGCTTCTGTCTCTTTTGGCAGATCAAAAAAACCTCTATGAAGCTTCTCAACGGAGGCAGGCTTATGTTTTCAACACTATAAGTCAAATCTTGGTCACTCTTGTCTTGGAGGTGATGCAGCTGTTGTTTCTCTCGGTGTACCTGCAACAACCCCGGTTTTTCAGACAAATTTGGAAGATGATGACAGAGTTCTTGAATATACTCATGGCTAACCTTCAGGCTGATTTTCTTTTTGGGTGGGTGTTTGTACAGTTTTTTTAGTCTGAGTTTGATCCTCTGTTTGGCTTTCCCCTGTACAGTTTTCGGAAGCTTTGAGCTGCTCTTCTGTGATCCTGAGGTAATCCTCGGTTGTGTAAGCTTTTGGTGATTGAGCATCATCATCATCTGCTTATTTCAAAGAAAATTTACCATATAGCTTAGCTTCACTAGACTCCACTTATGAAAACGAATATGTAAAACAAACGCATAAAAAAACTCCTTATTTCATATGTGTCAGTCAAAATCCATAGTATGATATGCTTCCTGTTTTGTTAGCATATATACATAGTAAACATATAGACCACTCACTGGTATCACTTGCAGTCACAGAAACTGATGGTGGAGGAGGAGAAGGAGGACCAGGGTTAGTTCTGTTCGGGTTGTACACATTTGGCGTTGAGATCTCATCGAGGCCAATCTCACGCTCAAGTGTGCTTTTGAAATCTCTTGAAACATCCTGAAAAAAACAGCCATATGTAAACAATAAACAAAGACACTCGTTCTTTCAAGAGAGTCTTGAGATCAAGAAAACAAAACCTGAAGCTCTCTAATCGTCGGCTGAAACTCACGCAGGGTTTTCCCAAGAGTTCGAGCTACCTGCAAGTAGACACACTTCTTCAAAGATCCAAAACAACCACTACAGACTATCTGGAGAAGAAACAGAGCTAAGAGCACTTCTCATTTCCTAAATTCAGACTCTAAAATGCTTCTACAAAGGAGTCTCAGGAGGATTACTAAGAATGTAGATAAAGATTCCAACTCAATTAAGCCAAAAGCTCATCCTTCTCTAGACTAATCTACACGACTACACTCCAATTCATAATAAGTTGCTTCAACCCTGAAACGCTATGAATCGATCATCAAGAAGATCTACCACACACAAGAAGACACTGACCTCAGCAAGGCCTTTAGGGCCAAAGACTAACAAGGCAACAACACCAATAACCAAAGCCTCAGGTGCTCCAACGCCAAACAGAGACGCACGAATCACCATACCCTTACTACATCTTCTCTTCTTCTCTGTTACACAATAACACAACAGAACCCACCAAATTAACACATATTGTTTTTACAAAAGGAATCGATTTTGTGACGAGATGGAGAAATTCGGCACCTGGGTTTGAAGATTTCGGCGAGATTGAGATGCCCATATGCTTTAGACCAATGTATGGAGAGAAACGAGAAGAACCCAGGAGAGAAAAACATGAGGAGAGATTAGGTTTCGAAGCTTTATAGGGAGATTGCAGAGGAGGATATGAGAGAAGAAGGTGAGATTTTGAAATCGTTGGTGAAGAAGCTATAATCTGAAAGGCCATGGTCATTGGGCAGCTTCGAGATTGTATTATAGTGTTTTTTGTGTATAAGCTTCGAAGAATCTAAGCCATAACTCACTTCCTCACCTTCATCACCAATCCACCATGTCCATTAGCTAAAAAGGAACTAACGAACAGAAAAAGATAAAATGAAAATCTAAATTATCCTATGGGAAAATCTGAATGAGAAAGTCGCACACACATGAATTTTTTTTGGCGAGTAAAATGGGCCGTTCAATTTATGATTTTTGAATATATTTGGGCCTAGATTGGGTTATTTGGGCTTAAGCACAAAACTTCAAAATGTGTGTGTAAATGTTCGAAAACACATGGTTCAAATTCTGTTTTAGTTTATTTACTTGAAAGATTTCACTCGTTTGTATACGAGGATTTTAACTTTTAAAGCCCTTTTTAGCTCTTGTGAGAAACATTCATAAAATAAAAATGAAAACATATAAATTAGCAAGTAACTTTAATTTAAGGAAGAAAGAATAAAAACAGGAAAGTAAAGAAAAAGAAAAAGAAAAAGGTAAGTAGGCAGTGGCAGTCATACACACGCACGAGTTACTCAAAAAAGCCATCACACAAACTCACCACAGAAGATGGTGTGCGCGCACGTGCGCTTTTTTTTGTTCATGATCTTTGTACTTTTTTTTTTTTTCTTTTAAATCATTTATTAAAGGACATAGTCTACAAAATAAAATAAGTTATCAGAACAAAAACAAAACGGGGAAGTGAGGGGAAGTGAGGGTACGTCTGATCGGCCTCGTTCTAATAGAACGCTGATGAGATCTGTACCATCTCTAATAAGCCTGATATGAATTTTGATCAGTCTGTCTAACAAGTTTCAGGTCGGTGACATAAAAGAAAATCTTCCATTTATCAAGCGACCGGAGAAAAAAAGAAACTTTCTGCCGACAAAAGTTTTCTATTCCAAACAGGTTGAAGACCGACCTGATCGGCTATAAATACAGGAAGTCCTCGACTCCTCAATCCATCCGAAAATCATCTATCGAGACTTAGGGCAAACTAAGCAATCTGATTGTTCTAGCTTTCGATTTACTTTCCATAAAAGTTTAGGTCGGCGTTCTTATTCCGACGACCTAAACCCCCGTGTATTCATTCTAACTCCGGCTTATTCTAATAAAAGATCTCTTCTTAAACCCTCAAACCCTAGTTCTTCTATAAGTCGAACTTGAGTTTTTACAGTTGGCGCCGTCTGAGGGGACTAGGAGAGCATTCTTTGACTTAGAACGAAGCTCGAAGATGGTTGAAACACCGATCAACACTACCGACCTCACAGGAGCCTCCGATCCGACAAGAAACACCCAGGATCCGATCGTCGACTCAGCCACCGGGCTCCCGGTGGACCACCAGACCGATCAGGAAGACAACACAACCACCGCGCAGAACATCGGAGGGACAGATCAGGTCGGTCAGACCGGTGGCACAAACACGACCGGCCTACCACAGCCACCTCCCATCGACATGGCCACCATCATCAGGTCGGTCGCAGCGCAGTTGCAGCAAGGGATGGATGCTCGCTTCGAATCCCTTCGTGCCGAGCAGATCGCCTACAGAGAAGACCTAGATCGGCTTCTCAACTCTAGAGTTCCTACCCAAGAGCAGGCCGATCTAATCACCCCTCCCCGCCCTCCGATCCGCAACACAGATACGACCAGGCTAGTCAACAACCTGTTCGGAACGACACCGACAGACGACCTGCGGAGAGCACAGGCAGAAGGCTCGAACGCTCGTTCATCGCACAATACCGCAGGTACCGACCCGACGACGGCCTCAGAGCTTGATCTTCTCCACCAACGCCTTGACGATATCCACAGCAAGATCCACAAAGCAACGACCTCAGCACCAGAGTTGGACAATATCCTCCAGGAGACCCAACAGACCCTGTTCACGTCGGCCATCACCAGCGCTCCTCTCAAGGACATAGGCCGGATGAAGCTACCTCCAAGCTACACCGGTACGACAGACCCGAAGCGACACCTTACCGCGTTCAATGCAGTCATGGGACGTGCTCGCTTCACCGATGAGGAACGGGAAGCATGCCTCTGTCAATAATTCATGGAGACGCTCTCCGGAAGCGCCCTCACCTGGTTCTCGCAGCTTCCCAAGAACTCCATTGATAGCTTCAAGGACCTCACAGCCCGGTTCCTGAAGCATTATTCGATTTACATCGACATGGAGTCCACAGCGCTTGATCTATGGGTGTGCGTCCAGGGTGACACGGAGTCGCTGCGTGATTTTATCGATCGGTTCTGATCGATCATCTCCCGGTGCAGTCTGTCGGACGAACTGTGTTTCAACATCCTTATCAAGAATTTGAAGGATGATTCATCTTACTGTGAGTGATTGAAGACGGGAAAAACCAAAACCCTCGAAGATGCTTTGCACAAGGCATCCGGCTACATCAGAATCGAGGAACATCGGGCAGCCAAGGCCAAGGCCAAGTTGGCCGATGAGAAATCTTCCCGCGACAAGAAAGGCAGATCATCGAGTCAGGACGATTACAAAGAGCCCCCTCAACACTACGACAAGGATGACAAGAATCGCAAGAGCATCAATGCAGTTGGACGACCAAAAAAGCCATGGAACGTGTGGGACCGCTCGAGCGACAGAGACCCCGACAGCAAGAAGCCGTGGTGCAAATACCATAGGGCGCACGGTCATCATACCGATGATTACCGCACCCTCCCAGCCCTCTTGAGGAAGAGGTGGGATGATGGCGAGATCACCCTTCCAGAACCCTGGAGTTCACGACGATCCGACGATGAAGACAGGCGACCCGATGACAATCGCGACAGAAGAACCAGTGACGATCGTGATAGAAGAGATAACACTGATCGCTCTTCTAAATGCGAGGGTAAGAAAGTAAAGCGTGACCGTGAAGACGATCACACACCTCCAAGCTCACCACGTCGGTGGATCAACATGATCATGGGAGGGCTCCTCTCGTGCATCGACTCTATAAATTTAATTAAACGGCACGAACAGAAGGCAGCCAATCCTCCGAAGGACGCCCCACCGCTATTCAAGGACGACCTACCTATCACATTCACAGAGCAAGACGTGCAGTTCATAGACCGACCTCATAACGATCCACTCGTCATCTAACTACGACTCGAAGAAGACGACGTCTCCAAAGTGTTGATCGACACTGGAAGTTCGGTTGACCTCATCTTCATGGATACTCTACGCAAGATGAGTATCCTGGAACAGGACATCAAAGTCGCACCGTCACCCCTCACTGGATTTGCTGGAGACTCGATCTCAACGATAGGAACGATAACGATGCCTGTTACCGGGAAGTCAATTACGGTCAAGTTCGAGGTTATCGACCGATCTACGATCTACAATGCCATCCTTGGAACGCCATGGCTGAATGCCATGCGGGCCGTCTCTTCTCCTTACCATCAATGCATCAAGATGCCGATCAGGGGCCGTGTCATCACCATCCGTGGCGACCAGACAGTGTCTCGACATTGCTACATCGACAACAAGCGCGCCCGCAAAGCACCAACGTTCGTGATCGGCAGTAGTGGCGATTTCGATCCATGGATTGTTCATAATGATGAGCAGCTGAAGAGCGATCTTATCGCCCAAGTCAACATCGATGCTGCTCACCCAGAACGTTGCGTCGGTATCGGCACGGAACTGCTGCCTAGCATGCAGGACGATCTGATCAGTTTCCTCCGAGAAAACGTCGCAACGTTTGCGTGGTCCATGGCCGACATGAAAGGCATTAACCCCTGAATAACGAATCATGAATTGAACATCGACCCGACTTTCAAGCCGATCAAGCAGAAGCGACGGAAGTTAGGACCTGAGCGTACACAAGCCATCCATGATGAAGTAGATAAGCTCCTGAAGGCCGAATCAATCGCCGAAGTAAAGTATCCAGATTGGCTTGCCAACCCGGTGGTCGTCAAAAAGAAAAACGGCAAGTGGCGGGTCTGCGTAGATTTCACCGACCTCAACAAAGCTTGCCTGAAGGACAGTTTCCCTCTTCCTCGTATCGATTAGCTCGTCGAGGCTACGGCGGGCAACGACCTACTCTACTTTATGCATGCATTCTCAGGATATAATCAGATTCTCATGAATCCGGACGACAACGAGAAGACCGCATTTATCACAGATTGGGGCACCTACTGCTACAAGGTCATGCCATTTGGTTTGAAAAACGCTGGAGCCACTTACTAGCGCCTTGTCAACAAGATGTTTGCCGACCAGCTCGGGAAGACGATGGAGGTATATATAGACGATATGCTCATCAAATCAGCTAAAGCAGCCTACCATATCATCCATCTGCGAGAATGCTCTCATACTGAACCAGTATGGCATGAAACTTAACCCCGCAAAATGCACCTTCGCAGTCACATCCGGCGAATTTCAAGGATACCTGGTCACTCAGCGTGGCATCGAAGCCAATCCTAAGCAGATCTCCGCGATTTTGGAGCTACCCTCGCCAACTAACACTCGCGAAGTTCAGCGCCTAACAGGAAGAATAGTCGCGCTGAACAGATTCATATCCCGATCCACAGACAAGTGTCTTCCCTTCTATCAACTCCTACGAGGCAACAAGCGATTCGAATGGGATGAAAAGTGTGAAGACGCGTTCATGCAGCTCAAAACCTACCTCTCGACACCACCGATCCTGGCCAAACCTGAGTACGGTGACACTCTGCTACTCTACGTTGTGGTCTCCAGCGTGGCAATCAGCGGAGTCCTGGT